CCTATATATATATTATATATATAATATATATATATATAATATTATATATATATAATATATATATATATATATATATATATAATATAATATATATATATATAATATATATATATATATATATATATAATATAATATAGATATATAATATATATATATATATATATAAATATATATATATATATCATATATATATATATATATATATATATATATATATAGTAAATATATATATATCTAATATATATATATAGATATATATATATAATATATAATATAATAAAGATATATATATATATAAATATATATATATATATATATATATATATATAATAAGTAGATATAATTATATATACCAAATTTAATATAAATATATATATTATATTAATTATAAATATATTAATATAACAATATATAAATATAACAAATATATAATATAAATCTATATTTATAGTAATATATATCTACTATATATATTATATAAATATAATATTATAATATATAATATAAACACATATATAATATATACAACTATATATAATATATATATAAACATATATATAGATACATATATAATATATATAAATATATAATAATCTAAATTATATAATATCTAATATAAATATATTATATATATATATAATATAAATATATATATATATAATAAAAAACTATATATATATATCTATAATAAAATATATATATATATATAAATATATATATATAATATAATATATATAGATATATATATATATATATATACTATAATATAAATATAATATATATATAATATAAATATATATATATATATAAAATATATATATATATATAATAATTATATTATTATATATAATATAATATAATATATTAATATATATATATATAATATAAATATATATATATTATATAATATAAATATATATATATAATAATATAAATATATATATATATATAAATATATTATATATATATATATATATAATTATAATATATATAATATAAATATATAAATTATAGTATATAGAGATATATATATAAATATAATTAACTATATATATATATAATATATAAATATATATATCTAATATATATATATAATTATAAGATATATATATATATATATATATAGTGGCATATATAGTAGGATATGTGAGGGATCAAGTGAGTGGCAGCGAGTGGCTGGCTGGTGTGTGGTGGTCACTTCCCGTTGCTTTTCGACTCATAATAGCAACTTAGTGGTTCATTATGGTGAACAAAACATGCAGATAACCTGAGTATTTAGTGTAATAACCGACAAAGTATTTGTTCACTGCTTGATGAACATAATTGAATCAACAATATGCACACTATATTTTTGAGTACAGTGTTGATTCACTCATTAAATAAATATATCACTACACACTATTGAATAATATTACAGCAAAAAAACTACGAAAAATCAATCAGACATTGAAATAATTAGGTAATTATATCGTTGTGGCCACTCCTGCCTGACAGCTGGCGAGCACCAGACTATCTGGGATGCACGGCGAGTCAGCGCCTGTTTGCCTGTTTTTGCCAGACTTCCCCACCCTATAGCGGGCAATATATGCCACCTACGATTTATTTTATTATTTTTCCCATGATCAGAGAACACAAATTAACAGGTTTAGAAGAAAAAATAATATTTTTTTTTGGTATGCGCCTGTGGGTGACAAATGCTAAATAGCCCGGAGCCACACAAAGGTTAATCAAAATATGAAGGTGGCCGGACACAAAGCAATGTGCCTCAAGTATCAGTCCCTCAGTGTGCTGGTATCCACACAGCAGCACATCACCAATTTACGAAGTGTTGAATGTAATGAAAAGTCGGTTTCTGGATGAACTCCGGTGACTCCCTGAATCTAGTATCACTGATATGTACCATCTATTGGGTTGCATCAGCTACAGAGTAATTACATGCAACATGTAATTACCCATGTGGGTCATTCCATCTCAAGTCACCAAAAAGTCACCTATAGCTCCCACTCGACCCGCTCCAAATGTCATGAAATTTTGTAGTAAGATAGCCCTAGACCCCAAATGACACTTTGCAAAACATTAAGAGCTCAATCTGCTTTGGTTCTTAAATAACAGGTCCATATTCAATGGGCTCTCATCCCATTAATGCGCAAGTACCACAAAAATGACCAGCTTTGACCCTTTGTTAAATCCCTTCTATTGCCTGTAGAAGTGTGAAATTTGACATACCAGGACAAATTTTGGTGTAGAATAATGCAGCGTAATCAAAAAAGCATTATGGGTGGCCATTCAGTTATCCATCCATGCTAAAATAACTACCAAATTTTGTCGCGAGAATTTTGGACCCCAATTTGGAGACCACTTACTCACCACCAAAAGGTCTAAACGCCATGATCTTTTGCAGCGATGTATAACAAGCACAATATTATGCAGTGATGCAATAGCAACTCTGTTGTATCCATATGTCCAGAGGTGGTCCACTTGAAAATTGGCCAAAAAAAATTTATGTGCATAACTAGCCAATTTTCAGGACAAAATACCTCAATATTTGTCATTCCCAATTTGGTTTTGAATAACACCATTGGATAGAGCAGATTTTTCTGTACAAGATTAACTTTTATTTAGGTTGGGATCTGAATTCCTAGTTCAGCCAGAGGACTCTGAATATGACATACCTTGGTGCGATATCGAAAAAATCAAATTATGATTCTCCATCTTTTGTGCACTGATCATGACTGCTAGCAAATTGACATCCAAACTGATTGGAAAAATATTAAGCTTTATTGGGTAGAACATTTTTGGGTGGGATTCAGAATTATTATTAAACAAGCGGTGCTATTTTAGGTTCCTGGGGCCAGATTCAGGAAGGTACTTACGAAGGTTTTTCTTCTTAGCTACGAATGTTTTCCTTCTTAGCGCCTTCGTGGCGGCTACGTCGGTATTCAGGTAGCTACACTAAGTGGAAAAACCTTCGTAAGTGTGGTCCGGGATCTAAGTGTGGTTTCGACCACTCGTAGCTTTACGTAAACTGGATATAACTCAATTTTTCTCTACTACATAACACTGGGATCGATTTTAAGATTTTGGAACATAAACAAAAGATTATAAAAATTGAATCTAGTGAAGAGGAGTCCTTTGTGTTAGTTATATATGCATTCTCTGCTTGAAACTTAAAGTATATATGTCTTTTATGATAGTAGAATTAGTTTTATAATAGCAAGATATTATACCCGTAGTTGTTAAGTAAATAAACACTGGTGAACATGAAATATGAGAAAAGGTGATGAGCCCTGCCTGATGGGATCATTTACTATCACCAAATGCCCCTGTTCACCTAGTAGTAAGGATAATGCCCCTTAGCTATACATACCCATTTCTAATTTATTTAGTTTGGTTTTATTTTGAAATTAAATCTGGGTGAGACAAAATAAAAATATGCTGCACAAATGATGTTAGGTAAGGAGAAGGGTAAAAATGTCAAAAACTTTATTCATTGAATACTTAAAGCTATAATTATGACTATATAGACTATTAAAAGAGAGAGAGGGAAGTAGGGGTCCAAGACCTCTTCCTGTTATACAATTTGGGTGTGGAACAAGTAATTATCAAAAGAAGGCACCATGCTGGAAAGGCTATGTAGCAGTAAGGCAGTGAGGTGAGGCAGCTACTTATTTGAGATATGCTTATTTTATTTACCTTATAAGCTGAGGCAACTTATTTTATTTGAGGAATACTCAGCTGATTCCTCTACATTTAGCATGGAACAAATTTGTGTCCAAGACCTCTTCCTGTTACACAATTTGGCTGTGTGTAACCAAACTAGAAGTGCTCTACAAATCAAGGGACCCAGAATGTGGAATGACCTCCCGAATCATGTCAAAGGCTGTACCTCTCTCAACCAGTTTAAGAGATAAACCAAGTATTGCCTAATTAACTCCATGTAACCTAACTTACCTCCTAAATGTCAACCCATGTCTTGCAATTTTTTAAACAATGCTGTTCACCAACATGTGCAATTGCTGATTTATGCTATGTTAACCCCCCTTTTTGTATATTTTTTATTCCTTCTTTCAACACAATTTATACCTAATCCCGATTACTATTAAGTTTTAGTCTAAGTGTTTTTTCCCCCCACACCTTGCCCGAAATGCTATGAGTATTAGTGGCTTTAGGTATTGTATGTACTAGCTCTATCTATAAATCCAACATTATGTTTGTAAATCAACTGTATGTACTTTTACTGAATAAAATGTATTTATTATTTATTTATTAATCAGTAAGTAAGTGTTAAAAGAAGGCACCAAGCTGGGAAGGCTATGTAGCACCATTGTGTGTAACAATAAACCAAATTTTTTTTAACAAATAATGCACCTGTATGGTAAAACAAATCCTGTCGGCTGTAAAAATATTGATGCAGTTATTTAAATAAAAAATATAATGAATGAAATATTACTGGTTTATTTTTATCCTATCTTTTTGTACTGTACAGTATATCTAAGAAAGTAAAAAATTGAGACATAATGCACAATTTAATGAATGATTAGCATGGATTAGCAGTTCAAAAGAAATATGACTATTACATATCAACATGAGATCTTAATGATCCATGGTCAACATGATTTAATAAGGATAATACAGTACTGTATTTGTAATAATACAAACTATAATTTAAAATCTTTATTACCGATTTTTTTTATTAAGAAGATTAGGTATACACAGCAATGTGCTGCTACCCTATTCTATATGGAATATTACAGTGTAGATAAAAAACTAGCTATAAGTTTATCTAATACTCCCATCTCACAGGATGGTTAAACATACATGGAATCAATTTAGAAAATACCAGCCTCAATACAAAAAACAAATCAACTCTGACTAAACAACTCTTCGCGATTTTCACTAGAGGTAAGCACTGAATCATGGAAACATTATATTATAATTACTCTTACCAGTTTCTACAAGACTCCTCTCAAACAATGTATTTTTTAACATGTTTAGGTATGGCCAACGGCCATACTGTACCACGTTGAGAACACTGCTTCTCGTCCGATCAGCGAAGTTAAGCAACGTTGGGTTTGGTTAGTACTTGGATGGGTGACCGCCTGGGAACACCAAATGCTGTTGGCAATAATGTTTTTACCTGATCAACCAGGCTGTGACTCATACGTCAGGCTGCGAGCAGCCGCGTCTAACAGCCTGGTTGATCAGTCCAGCAACCAGGAGGCCTGGTCAACGACCGGGCCGCGGCGACACTAAGCTCCGGAAGCACCTCAAGGTAACCTCATGGTAGGTATACACAGCAATGTGCTGCTTCCCTATTCTGTATAAAGGACCACACAGTGTAGATCAAAAACCAGCTACAAGCTCATCCAACATCCTCACCTCACAGGATGGCCAGTCATACATGGCATTAGGAGAGAACAAAATACTTAATGCTGATCTATTAGCCTCCACTGGCAAAATCTGGGTGCAGCACAAGAATATCTTCCAATATTCCTGAGTGTATGAAGTAATTACAGAGCTCAAAATACCTCATACCATTTGGTATGAAGTCACTGATAACAGGGCAATCACAGGTATAGTGTTGGAGAGTATGCTCTCTCAAGTAGGACTGAAAACAAATGTTTTTTCCACCAAGAGGGCTATAAACCCATGGAACCGCCTACCGCTGAAGCTGTAAATGCCAAATTCCAGCTAAAAAATATCATTAAGATAATTGGCGGGCCCTTTAACAAGCCACTGGCTTTCTGTCCTCGTCGAGGCCACTAGATAGATAATGGCCCTTGGGTAAATTCAGTAAATATATACAATAATTGTCAGCGCATCTTCCGAGCAACAAGGACAGCTACACAGTATCTCTTAGAATTACGTAGAGTAAACAACAAATATAACATCTTTGTTTACTACAATATCGGTGCTGGCTGTAGAAGTTGAAAAAAAGTTTTACTTCGAAATATATTAATTTTATAAGAAAATTCAACGTAAATAGGAAGCAGTAGAGCTCCAATATGCCAGCGCTAAATCTTCAGTATGAAGAATGTTGCTGCTCTCTGATTGGCCAAACGAAACACAGTAGTGACCTCTATCGGCACGCAAGTGAACCAACAAATATCTTCCTAAGTGGACGTACTTGAATTGCACCTAAGCATCTTCTTAGGGCACACTTAGGAACCTTCGTAGCAAACCTACTTACGAAGAAATACATGGAGCTTCCTGAATCTAGGTCCTGTTCTATATTTATCTTTACGTCTTTGTAGTTTCGTGCCAGCAGGTCAAACATTGCTGTTTACTTATTTGTGTATTTACTTGCAATAAATACACAAATAAATAAAAACAATAATTATGTATTACAGGTCTCACTTGAAATTACTGTATTCAGTTAGTTAAATAATTTGACTTCAATTCTATTACAGATACGTCATGAATCAGGATTCCATTGGTTTATTGCCATGTGCTATTGCTAGCCATGAGCATGGCTGGCTCTTCTGAATGTCACTTGACAACCTACACTCCCAACAAAGGCTTGAAGTTTCTAAAACAGTATAGGGCAGAAGATCAAAAACTGATAGCAAAGTGAAGTGAACTGAACTTGGGTGGAGAATCTCAAGTATGCCTCCATCATGAAGCTTTGCTGTTGACGAAATTTGAATTTTTGCAAAAAACTTGCTGCAATCCCTTCAAGAAGAAATGCCAAGAAAAGCAAAAAGATTTGCAACCAATCACAGTAGCTACTGCAGAGAAAATGTCATATGCTGAAAGTCAGTACAGTACAACCTCGATTCAACGTACTATATGGGACCAACCCCAGTTCGTTGGATTCGTTGCAAGAGGTGACCTACAGGAGGCGTTTGTGTCAATGTCTTTTTTTTCTTGTACACAATAAAAATGCATTATCATATTACATACTCTACCTATATACGGATTACTTCTCTACTAAAAAATACTGCAATTCATAAATTTACCTTATTGTTGGAGTTATGTCCATCTTGAAGTTTCATGAAGTTGTGAATGCTCAACAATAAATACGTATTACAGTGCATTATGCTGTTAGTACTGTGTTGATTAAAAGTAGTTCTGCTGTATGTTGAGCACTACAATACAGTTTATGAAAACTATTGTACACTAAAATTACTGCAACTTTAATTTTAACACTGTGTACACACTTAAATTAAACACTTGTTCTAACTGTTCACGCCGCACACGATGTTTTAAGATTTTTGCATCAGCTTTGCTGAGGCTAGCTGCTGCTGTGGGTTCAGCTGCTTCTGAGCTGGTGCTGGGTTCCGCCGTGCTCGACTGCTGGGTACGGCCGTGCTCGACTGCTGGGTACGGCCGTGCTCGACTGCTGGGTACGGCCGTGCTCGACTGCTGGGTACGGCCGTGCTCGACTGCTGGGTACGGCCGTGCTCGACGACGGCCGTGCTCGACTGCTGGGTACGGCCGTGCTCGACTGCTGGGTACGGCCGTGCTCGACTGCTGGGTACGGCCGTGCTCGACTGCTGGGTACGGCCGTGCTCGACTGCTGGGTACGGCCGTGCTCGACTGCTGGGTACGGCCGTGCTCGACTGCTGGGTACGGCCGTGCTCGACTGCTGGGTACGGCCGTGCTCGACTGCTGGGTACGGCCGTGCTCGACTGCTGGGTACGGCCGTGCTCGACTGCTGGGTACGGCCGTGCTCGACTGCTGGGTACGGCCGTGCTCGACTGCTGGGTACGGCCGTGCTCGACTGCTGGGTACGGCCGTGCTCGACTGCTGGGTACTGCTGGGTACGGCCGTGCTCGACTGCTGGGTACGGCCGTGCTCGACTGCTGGGTACGGCCGTGCTCGACTGCTGGGTACGGCCGTGCTCGACTGCTGGGTACGGCCGTGCTCGACTGCTGGCCGTGCTCGACTGCGGCCGTGCTCGACTGCTGCTGGGTACGGCCGTGCTCGACTGCTGGGGCCGTGCTCGACTGCTGGGTACGGCCGTGCTCGACTGCTGGGTACGGCCGTGCTCGACTGGGTACGGCCGTGCTCGACTGCTGGGTACGGCCGTGCTCGACTGCTGGGTACGGCCGTGCTCGACTGCTGGGTACGGCCGTGCTCGACTGCTGGGTACGGCCGTGCTCGACTGCTGGGTACGGCCGTGCTCGACTGCTGGGTACGGCCGTGCTCGACTGCTGGGTACGGCCGTGCTCGACTGCTGGGTACGGCCGTGCTCGACTGCTGGGTACGGCCGTGCTCGACTGCTGGGTACGGCCGTGCTCGACTGCTGGGTACGGCCGTGCTCTGCTGGGTACTGCTCTGGGTACGGCCGTGCTCGACTGCTGGGTACGGCCTGCTGGGTACGGCGTGCTCGACTGCTGGGTGCTCGACTGCTGGGTACGGCCGTGCTCGACTGCTGGGTACGGCCGTGCTCGACTGCTGGGTACGGCCGTGCTCGACTGCTGGGTACGGCCGTGCTCGACTGCTGGGTACGGCCGTGCTCGACTGCTGGGTACGGCCGTGCTCGACTGCTGGGTACGGCCGTGCTCGACTGCTGGGTACGGCCGTGCTCGACTGCTGGGTACGGCCGTGCTCGACTGCTGGGTACGGCCGTGCTCGACTGCTGGGTACGGCCGTGCTCGACTGCTGGGTACGGCCGTGCTCGACTGCTGGGTACGGCCGTGCTCGACTGCTGGGTACGGCCGTGCTCGACTGCTGGGTACGGCCGTGCTCGACTGCTGGGTACGGCCGTGCTCGACTGCTGGGTACGGCCGTGCTCGACTGCTGGGTACGGCCGTGCTCGACTGCTGGGTACGGCCGTGCTCGACTGCTGGGTACGGCCGTGCTCGACTGCTGGGTACGGCCGTGCTCGACTGCTGGGTACGGCCGTGCTCGACTGCTGGGTACGGCCGTGCTCGACTGCTGGGTACGGCCGTGCTCGACTGCTGGGTACGGCCGTGCTCGACTGCTGGGTACGGCCGTGCTCGACTGCTGGGTACGGCCGTGCTCGACTGCTGGGTACGGCCGTGCTCGACTGCTGGGTACGGCCGTGCTCGACTGCTGGGTACGGCCGTGCTCGACTGCTGGGTACGGCCGTGCTCGACTGCTGGGTACGGCCGTGCTCGACTGCTGGGTACGGCCGTGCTCGACTGCTGGGTACGGCCGTGCTCGACTGCTGGGTACGGCCGTGCTCGACTGCTGGGTACGGCCGTGCTCGACTGCTGGGTACGGCCGTGCTCGACTGCTGGGTACGGCCGTGCTCGACTGCTGGGTACGGCCGTGCTCGACTGCTGGGTACGGCCGTGCTCGACTGCTGGGTACGGCCGTGCTCGACTGCTGGGTACGGCCGTGCTCGACTGCTGGGTACGGCCGTGCTCGACTGCTGGGTACGGCCGTGCTCGACTGCTGGGTACGGCCGTGCTCGACTGCTGGGTACGGCCGTGCTCGACTGCTGGGTACGGCCGTGCTCGACTGCTGGGTACGGCCGTGCTCGACTGCTGGGTACGGCCGTGCTCGACTGCTGGGTACGGCCGTGCTCGACTGCTGGGTACGGCCGTGCTCGACTGCTGGGTACGGCCGTGCTCGACTGCTGGGTACGGCCGTGCTCGACTGCTGGGTACGGCCGTGCTCGACTGCTGGGTACGGCCGTGCTCGACTGCTGGGTACGGCCGTGCTCGACTGCTGGGTACGGCCGTGCTCGACTGCTGGGTACGGCCGTGCTCGACTGCTGGGTACGGCCGTGCTCGACTGCTGGGTACGGCCGTGCTCGACTGCTGGGTACGGCCGTGCTCGACTGCTGGGTACGGCCGTGCTCGACTGCTGGGTACGGCCGTGCTCGACTGCTGGGTACGGCCGTGCTCGACTGCTGGGTACGGCCGTGCTCGACTGCTGGGTACGGCCGTGCTCGACTGCTGGGTACGGCCGTGCTCGACTGCTGGGTACGGCCGTGCTCGACTGCTGGGTTCCGCCGTGCTCGACTGCTGGGTACGGCCGTGCTCGACTGCTGGGTACGGCCGTGCTCGACTGGGGTACGGCCGTGCTCGACTGCTGGGTACGGCCGTGCTCGACTGCTGGGTACGGCCGTGCTCGACTGCTGGGTACGGCCGTGCTCGACTGCTGGGTACGGCCGTGCTCGACTGCTGGGTACGGCCGTGCTCGACTGC